TACCAACTTTTCGCAAATTTTGAATGCGACTTATTCAAATTATTAATGAAAAACTACTTAAAACGCAGTTTTTAGTGAAAAGTGAAACTTCTTTTAATTTTTACTAAAACAAATTCAGAACATCAAATTACTGAAATATTTACCTTTTTATTACAGTTTTTAAATCATAAACAATTGTTCAATTTGGATGAGATATACTCAGTAGTAAACTTTGGGGCGCTCTTGCGTTAAAACTATTAATTTTACAAGAAAGAGGTAACCACATAAATTGTAGGAATAAGCAGTGCCGCAATTTTCAATTGACATAACGAACATTGGTGATCCGACGTTAATACCCATTGTAACTTTGATATCCAAACTCAGAGACGTTTCGGTTTTAGTGTTTGGTGTGCCCTATTGGGCAATGGCATTTTAGCCTACCAAATTTATGTTGGAAACTAAATGGCCAACAATATTTAGAAATTTTAAACGAACACATATTCGATGGTTTTTGGTGGTCACCACGTTCACCAGATTTAACGCCCTTAGATTTCTTCTTTTGGGGATATATTAAAGACAATTTATACAAAAATACTTCTAATAATACAAAATTTTATACAGTGTGTTAATTCCATCTCCAATATCCACATTTATAACGCAATTCGGAATGTTTCCATAGATGTCGTTCATGTGTTGCGAATAATAGACAGAAAATTTAGTCTAGACAGTTTTATATTTTTTAATGATGTTGTAATTATTGATAGAACAGCATCGTCATTATTATGATTTGTTAAAAGTTTCATAATGTATGTGATTTTCATTTAATTGTTTGGAAATAGAATTATTAGGTTATCTTCTTTACGGGTAACGATTAAAATTTAATTCACTTGCAACTTCAGAATAAACTTTGAATAAAACATTCTTACAAATTAATTTTTTTCATTTATTTTCATAGATCATTTTGCTCTTTAAAATTGATGTCATAAACAATCAAATGTTCAGTATTTTAATAACATGCAATAACAGATACTTTGTCCTATCAGAAATATTCTAAAACTAGTATTAGTATTATATATTATTTTAAAAATAATGAGATTTTGCTAAATAACAACGAGAAATTTTTTGTCTTTTTTTTTTGTATGCCACAGCCAACTATCCGTTCCATATAAAAAAATACAACTTTATGCTATAACTCGAATTTGAAGAATTTTTTAAAAAATTGACTACGCCACTGGATTCTTATCAAAAAAGTGCCTGAAGAAGGTATAAATTATTTTCTTCATTTTCTCCATATTCATAAATACGCAAGATAATGGCATATAAGAAAAATTTGAAAAAACGAACTTTTGTTTATAACTCGAAAACAAAAGGCAATAGCCAATTTTTGAAAATGCCATTAAGTTTTTCTCAAAAAAAGAGATCTAGGATTGGAGGTCCATTTTTCCATACCATTTATAGTTAACGAGATTCTCTATTAAAACATTCCTTCGAGTCTGGCTTTGGCCAGTGGTGTTACAAACAGAGGGGAGACTTGATTTATACGCATTTGAGCTGTTCTGAGAGATCCTGGAAATAATGTTTCTTCTCGTGTTTTCATAGCGGTTCGAAAATAAATTTTCATTAGAGACCTTCCCTACACCTTGTCTTCGCAATCTTTACTGACACTTAATGCTTAGCATAAATTACTAATACAATTAGCTTTAAAATAAAGTGTTGGGCTTTATACAATAATACAAATAATCTCACAAGCTAAGGCAATCCAATTCAATAATAAAACCATAAAATATAAAATATATGTAGATAAAAACAAATTAATTTACATGCATCTAATGAAAAATGGGAAGACATATATTCAATAAACAATGTTGACACTGCTACTGATAACTTAATATTAAAAATCAGAAAAATTATTGAAAATAGCTCTAATAAAATACCACTTAAACGAAATCAAATAAAAAGAAATGCATAGATGACAAACGGTTTACTAAAATCAGCTAATACAAAACAAAAGATTTACAATAAAATGAAAAATAATCCTACTAAAGAGAACATAAATGAGTATAACAGGCACAAAAACATATTTGGCAAATTAGTAGAAAACGCAAAAAGAATGTACTATCAAAAAGATTTGGAAATAAACAAGTCTGATTCTAGTAAACTATGGAGATCCATAAATAACTTAACAAATAAAAAAATACATAAAACTCAAAGTATAAGTGAAATAAAAACTGATAATGATCTAGTTACATCTGACAAAACAATAATTACTGATTCCTTCAACAAATACTTTACAAATGTTGGTAAATCACTTGCAAATAAGAACAAACATAGAAGAAATAAACAAAAAAAATTCCCTAAAACGAATTTAAAAAATTCATTATTTTTAAAGGACGCTACAGCAAATGAAATTATTGATATAATCAAAGGCTTGACAAACAAAAAAAGTCCAGGATTAGATACTATCAGGGCAGATGATTTAAAACATATTTCTTCTAAAATTGCAGAAACACTAGCTTATATCATAAATATGGCATTCAAAATAGGTCGGTGTCCAGAAGCGTTTAAATCCGCCGCCGTAACGCCGATCTACAAAAATGGAGATAGGCTGGATGTGATCAATTACCGTCCTATATCACTAATCTCGTGCCTTGCGAAAATATTTGAGAAGCTCTTGAAGAAACGTATTAACTCGTATCTAATAAAATATAATATATTGTCGACAAACCAGTTTGGTTTTACAGAAGGAAAATCAACAAATGATGCACTTGTATCACTCACAAACGACATTGTCAAAAGTATCGATTCTGGTTTGTCTACCATATGTATATTTGTAGATCTAAAGAAAGCTTTTGATACCATTAGTCACATTCAGCTTATGGAAGTTTTGGATGGAATAGGATTTAGGGGAACACCGTACAAGCTTATGGAGAGTTATCGCGTTAAAATAGACGACACTAAAAGTACCTTTCTAACGAGTGAATACGGTGTTCCTCAGGGAACTGTCCTGGGTCCCCTGTTGTTTAATCTATATCTAAATGACATCTTTAAAATAAATAGCAAGGGTCGCATAGTGAGTTTTGCCGATGATACGGCTGTAATATATCAAGACAAAAATTGGCAAGATCTAAAAAGTCTAGTAGAAATAGATTTCGCAAACATAATCAAATGGTTTGATCAAAAAGAACTTACAATCAATACAGACAAAACTCGCTTCATGGTATTTGCTTCATATTCCAGTTATTTGCCCCAATATACTACTTTGTCAATAGACTTGGATGGAGAAAGGGTGGACATTAGATCTGTTTCGAAGATAAAATACTTAGGATTAATACTAGATTCACACCTAAAATTAGATATACACATCGAATATTTACTAAAAAAACTAAGAACAGTCAATTATAAATTAAAATATTTAACTAGGTATTACGATACAGAGCAACTGAAAATAATATATTACTCACTATTTCAAAGCCATTTATCTTATGGAATTGTTGCCTGGGGAGGTACATATAAGGTACACATACACAAATTAGAGGTAATTCAAAAGTATATACTCAAAATAATATTCAAAAAACCAAGATTATATACTAGTCGTACACTTTATAGTGAAACCAAAATTCAAGATATTCGACAATTATATTTTGTAAATCTCGTTATACATCAACACAAAAATCGAAAGGAATTAACCAAAATTCATCACCAATACCCTACCAGGTATAGGTCAAATGATGTTTTCTCCGTCATCAGGACAAAAAAAGATTTATTACAAAGATCATATCTATATTTAGGGCCAAAATGTTATAATCTAGTCCCCTCAGAAATAAAAAATCTTAATCACTTTAACTTATTCAAAAAACTTGTCAAAAAGTGGTGTAATACATTAAGTTGCTTAGATATCCACGTCTTAATTGAGGGTAAATAAATAAATAAAAAAAAAATAATTGAAAATAAAAAGAAACAAAAAAAAAACAAAAAAAGAAAATCTAAAAAAAAATCATTTTTTTTTTGTTCCTATTATAATCATGTATTACGTGTCCCAATAAGCTATAATAATTAATTATTATAGTTATTATTATTACTATTGTTGTATTGTTATTGGTATTATTATTAGTATTTTTAATTATTATTATTAATATTATTATTGTTATTGTTATTATTATTATTGTTATTGTTATTATTATTATTATTATTATTATTTTTTTTATTATTATTATTATTATTAGATGGTTATTAGTATTAATCTATAGTGAGTCCTGCAATATGTTAATTCGATGAAAGTATTATAAAAACACTTGTCAAGGACACTAATTATTTATAGTTAATCCCACGCACAGACTTGCTCTTCTGTGGGACTATCATATTTATTTTTCCTAATATGGCTTATATTTTACATTGTTATATTTTACATTGTTAACCTTACATAATATGTAATTATTTGATATTTGAAAATAAGAATACCAGAGGGCGCTAAAATCAAAAACACCATAATGAATAGTCATATTGCTGAATTCTCCATAAAATTAACTTTTTAAATGATGTGTTAGACTCGGTTAGTTTCATATTTAATTATATTAGTTAACGCAGTTTCTGATAATGGCATTGGTATGTTTTCGTCTAGCCACCCTGTATATGGGTACAAATAATGACAGAGTTAAGTATGGAAAATTGGGTAATAAATTCCTAAACACCAAATAGTGAAATCAAACCAAAGAAATATTAAAAAAAATCGGTTCCTGGTCTCTTGGTATACCGTACCAACTGCATGACAGCTAAACTACCGGAGCTTGTCTAGTAATTAATTTGAGGTATAAGACTCGGTTTTTCAACATCAAATTAATTACTAAATCATTGGATACAAAAGCTTCAGTGGTCTAGTGATATTTTAATAAAATAGGACATAAGTATAAAGGATTGTGAAAAGTGAGTTATATGGGTTTCTAGGTAGAAAATAATCTAACCAGGTTTAGGAAAATAAGTACTTTAATATTTATTTATTTATTTAATGACAGCACATTTTTGCGTTAGCTAAGTTAATTTGTCTAAAATATTTCCAAGAAAGCGAAAAGGTATTGTGAAAAGGCACCATATTATCCTAAATATAAGCCGTATAGGTGTAGTGATTATATCCGTAACAGTTATGTTATCATTTTCATTAAAATGTTTTTCTAAATCGTAGTTGTTTAAATTATCTTCTTTCGGTTCGAACAAAGAAGCTGCAAACGTTGCAGCGACCAATAACTAAAAAAAAAAGAATAATAAGTCCAATGATTTCTTAGACAGGGTGAATCCTAAGTTAATTATTTTTTTAACTGTGTATAAAACTCGTTAAAATAACTCTTTTCAAATAACTTTTTTCAAAAACTCAAAAATGGGAAAAAATTTAAAAGTTGTTTATTTTAATGACTTTTATAAACCGTTAAAAAAAGTATCAACTTAAGATTTATTCTGTATTTCGTTATAGTTTTACAATTGGTAATTTTCAGCAATCCTATATATTATGATCACTAGTCATGAAAAAACAGATCGACACATATTTTCAGAATTTTTTTTGTGTGTCATCGGCTTCAACTGCTAAGGTTATTTCGCCTCGTGTTCTGTGTAGGCTTTGTTACTGTTTCCCAGCGCCACTTTAGGAACAGCACTGTTAATTAGAACCCAACAGTGAATGGTCGAGTGGGGAATCCTACCAAGGCATCAGAATTAATTTTAAATAATTAAATTAAATGAAAAAATTCCGGCCAACGGTGGAATTCGAACCTGGGACCCTTGGATCCACAGGCAGAGACTCTACCACTGAGCCACCGTCTTCAATTTCAGTACCCTTTCGATGTTATTATAGTCCGTCCCTAAATACGTACTCAAAAGAGTTAAAAATTGAATTATTTTAGTCTTCACTTTCAATTTTCCTCTTTAAACTAATTAATCTGCCCAATTAATTTCTAATTTCATTAGTATAAAAATGTTATACTTAAAAAAATATATATGATAACTTGAGATATACTTACAATAAAAAAAAATATAGTTAGTTTGGCTGCCATTTTTTACACAATACTGACTAAATTAATTGTTATCAAATCACTTTTAGAAGGTTTTTTATATAGAATATAAGTAGGTAAATATTGATTTTTTTTATTTTTAATTTAATTTGTTAACATTTTCATAAATACAATTTCTTGTTTAATTTACATCATAAATAAGAGATTAAATTCCAGAATGAACTTCTTGTATGGAAAAAATTTACTGTTTTGACCTTGAGCTGATTCTATGAATTTAACAGCTCGCAAAAATTATAAAGTTTTCAAAAATGCCGCAGCATTTAACTGAAGCTCAAAAGTCGAGGGCTAGTGGAAAATTTGAAAAAAATTGGTATTTAAGTCTTGATTTAAGTGGCTGCTGAATTAGGTGTCAGTAAAGATTGCGAAGACAAGGTGTAGGGAAGGTCTCTAATAAAAAATTTATTTTGGAACCGCTAGGAAAACACAAGAAGAAACATTTTCAGGATCTCTCAGAACAGCTCAAATGCGTATAAATCAAATATTGTAACACCACTGGCCAAAGCCAGACTTGAAGGAATGAATTTCAGTAAAAAATTCCATAGCAACCAATGAACTTTCACATTTGGTTGCGCCGACTGTACAGGATGGGCAACTAGTATGGATAAATGGACCTCCCATCTTCAATCTCTTTTTTTGAGAAAAATTCGAGTTATAAACAAAAGTTCGTTTTTTCTCGTTTTATCTCGCTTATTTATGAAAGTGAAAGAAAATAATGTATACCTTCTTCAGGCACTTTTTTGGTAAGAATCCATAACGTAGTCAATTTTTTTAAAAATTCTTCAAATTCGAGTTGTAGCATAAAGTTGTATTTTTTTATATGGAACGGGTAGTTGGCTGTGGCATACAAAAAAAGACGATATATGAGCCGTTTATTTTGAAAGTGGCCAAGTCCATTTATACTTAAATTGAGATATGTAAGGGTTTGTGTAAATTTTGTTTAACTGCATTAATTAAACGTACTAATTATTCAACTAATGCAATTGTCCAAAAACTGAGGTTAACTTGTTAAATATTAATTAAAATTACCTTCATCACTGCATTCGGACATTATCGATAATGAATATCTTAATTTAAGTATGAATGTACTTAGGCCACTTTCAAAATAAACGGTTCATATACAGGGTGTCCCAATAGTGTGTGGAAGTTCGATATATCCTATATTATAGAAAATATCAAACAATGTTATTTACAAAAGTTGTAGATAATATTAATCTGCACATTTCAAAATTATTTTCGATTATACAGAGTGATCCATAACTTCAGAATTGATCAAACCTGTTTTTTTTTAAATGGACCACCCTGTATTTAATTGTAAATTTGAATTCCCCTGACTTTGCCCTTCAAGAAAATACCAACATGTATGAGGTTATACTGGGTATTTTGGAAGTTTAAACTAATTTTTTATGAAAATCGTACTAGGTTCAACCCTCTGTATATTTCAAAAGAAACAATCGAACATCAACATTTTTTGATGAATCATTTTTAATGATAGTCTACTTTTATAAAATTATACTAATTCTTTCCTAGCGCAACAGACGTGTACAGGGTAAATCAAAACTCAGATACATGATTTTCTCAATTTTTTTAAATGTAACACTCTGTATTTCATATCACTACTAAAAAGTACTCTAATTATACGTTCGTTTGAGTTAAATATTGCCTATCCCTAAACACAACAGTTTAGCGAGATTCTTAGATGAAATGTTAAAAAACTAAATTCACAATGTAATTTGATTTAAACTCCTGTTAAGGTACCTGGTACAATTTTTTATCATCTGAATTTATTTTTTGGGACAGAACTTGGGGTGTGTCATTAACATTGTTAAAATAAATTAAACCTTTTTTTCTATACAATCAACTAAAAACCCAAGAACTACAAGAAAAAAAAAACTATAAATTAAGGTGTAAGAATTTAGAAAAGAACGCAGATATTTCCTTTTGTAAAGTAACAATGTGCCTTGTATACTCCTTGCCCGCGGTATGAAATCTATCGCTGGCATATAGAGACAAACGCACCGCTTCTAGAAACTACCAGAAAAAGCTGTACGTGGTCGTCGAGTCATAGAGATGGAATTTTCAGACATTCGAGATCGTCTAGAAACTACCAGTACAGAGTTGGCTTTATATACATAGCGCGAGTTGTCGACGGAAGGGCAGATTGAATTTAAGTGTTGGACAGAAGAGATAAATTGTAATAAATGAATTAGAATTGAGAGTTATAATAATGCCTAAGTATAATATAAATTAATTAGTACGTCATAAATAAATTGTAAATAGTGTGTTTTAAATAGATAAACTATAAATAAATTAAACAAACGTTACACTATTTTCAAACTATTAAAGAAAATCTCATACATTATGGAACTTTTAACAAATCAGGGACAAAGAATTATAATATTGACGATGCTGTTCTACCAATTACATCATTAAAAAATATAAAACTATCTAGACTAAATTTTCAAATTTATGTCCATTGTCGCAACACATGAACGACATCGTTTGGAAACATTCCGAATTGCGTTATAAATATGGATATCGGAGATGGAATTAACATTGTCTTTAATATATCCCCAAAAGAAGAAATCTGGTGAACGTGGTGGCCACCTTACCGGTTCCTTTGTCCCTATCCATGTGTCTCTAAAATAAAGATTTAACAATTCAGAGACGTTTCTAGTATTGTGAGGAGTTGCCCCATCGTATTGAAAAAATATAACTCGATTCTCATTCAGCGTTAAGTCGTCCAAAAAACCATCGGATATATTATTATTATGTTCGTTTAAAATTTCTAAATATCGTTGGAAATTTAATTTTACAACATAAATTTGGAAGATTAAATTGCCATTGCCCAATAGGGCACACTAAAACCGAAACGCCCCTGGTTTTTGGACATCAAAGTTACGATGGGGGTTAACGTCGGACCACCAATGTTTGTTATGTCGATTGAAAATTCCGGCACTGCTTATGTAAGATTCATTTGTTCATATAATTTTTGTAAAGAATTATGGATTCCGGTCTATGTTTTTAAGGTACCAATTGCAAACATTTAGACATCGTTTGGGATCGGTTGGTTGGAGATGTTGCTGTTTCCTTATTTTATAGGGTCCAAATTTGCATTTTTTTAAAACTGATAATGCTCGTTTTCGTGATATCCCAGACTCGGCTGTTCGCTATTTTCATAGGTCATTTTGCACTTCTAAGATGATACCATAAATAATCAAACGTTATTAAATGATAATTGTAAAAATGTCGATACTTCTGTCAGAAATATTCTGAATGATATAAGCCTACTAGAAAATAACAGAGTATTATAGATTATTTTGAAAATAATGAGTTTTTGCTAAATAACAATGAAAATGAATAAACTGACCCCATATATATATATCGTTAGAATGGGAACATTTTTGTCTTTTTTGTATGCCACAGCCAACTACCCGTTCCATATAAAAAAAATTACTACGCCACTGGATTATTATCAAAAAAGTACTTGAAGAAGGTATAAATTATTTTCTTCCACTTTCATAAATAAACGAGATAATGCCATATAAGGAAAATTTTAAAAAACGAAATCAAAAGACAATAGCCAATTTTTTAAAATGCCATTAAGTTTTTTCAAAAAAAGAGATCGAGGATGGAAGGTCCATTTTTCTATACAGTCGGCGCAACCAAATGTGAAAGTTCATTGGTTGCTATGGAATTTTTTACTGAAATTAATTCCTTCGAGTCTGGCTTTGGCCAGTGGTGGTACAAAGAGAGGGGAGACTTGATTTATGCGCATTTGAGCTGTTCTGAGAGATCCTGGAAATAATGTTTCTTCTCGTGCTTTCCTAGCGGTTCCAAAATAAATTTTCATTAGAGATCTTTCCTACACCTTGTATTCCCAATTTTTACTGACACTTAATTCAGCAGTCACTTAACTTAAATCGAGACTTATATACCAATTTTTTTTTTAATTCTGCAATAGCCCTCGACTTTTGAGCTTCAGTTAATCATACATTTTTGAAAACTTTATTATAATTTTTAAGAACTGTTAAATTTGAATGCGATGAACGACTATGATGCCAAGTCTAAATTTTGGCATTCACATTTCGGTTTCGTCAACTGTACACCTATAACAAATTCACAGAATCAACTCAAGGTCAAAACAGTACATTTTTCCATGTACTGTTACTTATGATGTAAATTAAACAAGGAATTGTATTTATAAAATTTGAACAAATTGAATTAAAAATAAAAAAATCAATATTTACCTACTTATGTTCTTTAAAAAAACCCTCTAAAAGTGATTTGATAACAATTCATTTATTCATTGTGTAAAAAATGGCAGCCAAACTAACTATATTTTTTTTGATTGTAAGTATATCTCAAGTTATATATATTTTTTTAAGTATAACATTTATAATGATGAAATTAGAAACTAATTGGGCAGATTAATTAGTTCAAAGAGGAAAATTCGAAGTAAAGTCTAAAATAATTCAACTTTTAACACTTTTGAGTACGTATTTAGGGACAGACTATACGAACATTAAAAGGGCACTGAAATTGAAGACATTTCTGAAAATATGTGACGATCTATTTTTTCACACCTCTGTAAAGAAGACATATGATAGTTTATAAGGATATAAAAAATTCGATAGACAGAACACAATAGAGATAATGACTAGCCACATAGTTGGGAAAAGATGGGATGACCTAATCAAAGTGAATGGCTATAGTGATGATAATATTGCTGTTGATACTTTTTTAACTGTTTATAGAAGTCATTAAAATAAAGCACCTTTTACATTTTTTTTCTTATTTTTGAGTTTTTTGAAAACAGTTATTTTAACGAATTTTATATAGTTAAAAGAATAATCAACAAAGGGTTGGTTCATCCTGCATAAGGAATCATTTGACTTATTATTCTTTTTTCTTTTTAGTTATTGGTCGCTGTAACGTTTGCAGCATCTTTGTTCGAACCGAAAGGAGATAATTTAAACAACTACGATTTAGAAGGAAATTTTGATGACATTGATGACATTACTTCTACGGATATAATAACTACACCTATACAGGTTATATTTAGAATAATATGGTACCTTTTCACAATACCTTTTCGCTTTCTACAAAATATTTTAGACAAATTAACTTAGCTGATATTCCAATCAATGTAGCATAATAATAATAATGCAAAAATAAATAAATAATTAAATATGAAAACTTAAAGTACTTATTTTCCTAAACCTGGTTAGATTATTTGCTACCTAGAAACCCATATAACTCACTTCTCACACTTCTTTATACTCATGTTCTATTTTAATATCACTAGACCACTGGAGCTTTGTATCCAATGATTTAGTAATTAATTTGATGTTGAAAAAACCGAGTCTTATACCCCAAACTAATTACTAAATAAGCTCCGGTAGTTTAGCTGTCATGCAGTTGGTACGGTATACCAAGAGACGTTGGTTCGATCCCCACCTGGAACCGATTTATTTCAATATTTCTTTGGTTTGATTTCACTATTTGGTGTTTAGGAATTTATTACCCAATTTTTCACACTTCCCTCTGTCATTATTTGTACCCACATATAGGGTGGCTAGACGAAAACATATCAGTGCCATTATCAGGAACTGCGTTAACCAATAGAATTTAAATATGAAAACTAACCGAGTCTGAAACATTATTTAAGAAGGTAATTTTATGGATAATTCAGCATTATGATTATTTATTATGGTGCTCTTGATTTTAGCACCCTCTAGCGGGATAAAAAACTGTTATTCTTATTAAAAAGTGCGACATTTTATTTTAAAGGTAGTTTTGTATTAGAAATTTAATGCTTAACAACAATTGATTAGGTTAATTGATTGCGATTTAAGTCACACTTTACAATACGTAAGTTTTTCATCCCGCTAAAGGGTGCTAAAATCAAATTCAATTGAATAAATAGTCTCCATAAAAATACCTCTTGAGTACTTTCCTATTTAAGTTGTATTGGTTAGAGTGAGTGGGAAATGTGCGAATTATCATAATTTGCCATTATTGGCGCACCCGCACACATGCGCCAAAGTAACTTTGGCACACGCTTGTCTATTTCATTTAAATTAAATAAAAGAAAGCTAATCGGTATTTTAAAACAAAATGTAGGTTAATTTGAAATATTTTAACCGACTTACTAGTATTTTAAATCATCCAACAGAATTTTTCGTAAATAATTAAATCATAAATAGGTATTAAAACATTTTTTCACTTCGAAGAGTAGGCTTTGCGTCAAAGAAACTTACAATATTATAACGAGAAAAGGTAATCCATTTCTAATAAAATTAAATTATTTATTTTATTTTAGTGTAATCGTAGAAAAAATCTTGTATGTAATTCGAGCAGAAAGTAGCACTTTGGCTGTTTCGACAGATTTCCGCATTCCGCTAACGCGTCGTGCGGCTGCTATCTGTCTCAACTGTCAAAGTGCTGCTATCTGTTCTTAATACACAAATAACTATTATCGCTTCTCGTTTTATACATAAAAATTTGTATTGACAATTAATGATAACTTTGACGTACATGTCACAGGTTATAGGACGATATTTATTTACTTTTCAATACATGTGTGTTTTGTTACTTTTCAATACAAGTGTTTTCAGTACACATGTGATATCGTCGCCCATTTTACAAAAGGGCATAACTCATTTTTTGCAACTTTTCGAGAGAGCGATTTTAACATTTTAAAAATGAGGTGGTCTCAATTAATCATAGTATGGAAATGCAATTCCAGAGTTTTTGTGAGCAGTTACCTAGAAAATCAGGTTTTCTTGAGATATGCCCTTTTGAGACGAGAATTTTCCAAAAAATATTTGAGCATTTTTTGTTCAAAAACACGATATTTTTGATTTTTGTTTTTTGTAACATTATTGAGGAATATAAATGGCTTTAAGAAATATTTCTTTTTAAACAAAGTAATTTTTATTAAAAAATGTGAAGTTCATGAGATATTACAAAAAAAAAAAACTTAAAAACAAAGATTTATTTATATTATATTGTAAATACTTAGTCTTTGGTCCCAGGGAAAACTAATTATTCGTGGGGTAGGTGAGTGTAAAAATGCCTGTGGTCCTCCGACCTTATAACACTCGTCTCTTCTTGACATAGAGAGCACAAGTCTCTATATTTAAGGTTCGGTATCTTGATTGGGCCTGTATTTAATTTAGGAACTGGATTCTTAAGAGGGTGATTAGACTCTATATTTCTCTTAAGAGAAATGCTGCTGTATGGTGGGCAGCTAAGTTTAGTTTTGAACTGAATTGTACTTTCGTAACTAGCAGCTCAGATACCTTTGTCCAGTCGACGGTGTCACTGGAATTGTCACACTTTCGAATGGTCAGGATTCGTAGATTTTTAGACAGTTCCTTGAAAGCTAGAAACTTTTCAGGATTCATCCCTTCTACATTGTAAGGGTGTTTGCGTCTAGCCAGTCTTATTATACTTGTTAATTGTGAGGGTATAAAAATATCTCCCGCTCCCTTAACGGCATATCCTATGGCACTATGTGCACTATCCCCTTCACTTTGTCCGTGGTGGGGCTCAAAAAACGAGATACGAATCTCATCTAATGTAGTGCTGTTATTTATGCAATAGAGCATCATTGTGGGTAAAATTGTATTTTTGTTTTGGCCAGCACAGCCTTTGCAATATAAAAGAATAACACTTATGTTTTGGTATTCAAATTTTGTAAACGCAAGTGGCAACCTCAGATGACCCTCTTTTGATAATTGCCTCGTGCCACAAATAGCAATCACAGTCTCTCGATGCTATATCATATACAGTAAAGTTGTAAACTGGCAACCTTCTTTTGTAGAATACAGCACTCTCCTTTGATATTGGAAGTGAAAAAACTTGTTGCAAGTCGAAAACAGCACAAGCATACTTTGAGTTCGGTTGCTGAGACATTTGTTTACTTTCATCTTTCATTTTTTTAACGATGTGTGATTCATATTCTAGTGATAACTCCTTTTTTTTCTTCATCGCCATTATTATATGACATACAAAGGCTGCATTGATCCTTTTTGGGTCGGTGAATAGATTTGAATACTTTGCGGTACACAGAATAAGCTCCTTTCATTAGAGGTCCAGATTCATCTGCTAGATACATGGGAAACATCTTTAGTAGACTAAGATTTTCATGTAAATATTCACGAATTGAATTTTGACGGCAGTAATGAGATTCAACTCTTCCAAATTTATTTATGTGTTCGGTAATTCCATTAATTAATTGAAGGTCTCTATCGACTTGTGACTTATACCTTCCTCCTCTGTTCTTTTTCTATAATTCCAGTTGTACTTTTTTTCGATAATGTTGTACTTATAGTTTTTGCTGTCGTTGCCAGAGTATTAATAAAAAATGTTTTACAAACTGGTAGTTCGTCGCCGTCTAACGGGAGAAAGTAATAATTGCTTTTATTTATTCGAGATACCTCTTTTTGTGTAATTTTTTTGTTTGATTTCTTCCATTTTGATGTACCTTGCAATGTACTATCTTTGTAACTGCAAGGATCCCATTGAATAAAACTCTAGCATAATATCTTGTCTTTTACCATCACTAAAGAGACTACATTTCTTATTACGTTTTTAACATGATTCCCCATTGCATCGAGGTCCCAATTGTTTTGGTGGCATGAGGTTCATTGTTTTCGGTCTTACAAAACACTGTCCTTTGTTCTTTAGTTATTTGGCTAATTTAAATGAATTTATTTTCCTGACTTTTTTAAATGAAACTTCTCTTGGAGATCCTTCGGCTGGAAACAAGCTCTCCGGATTGTAATCTTGGTGTGAGCGGCAGTTATTATCTGCTTCAAAGTATTTAAAACAGAGTAAGACTTTTAAGCAGATACAAGCACTATATATTTCAAATGAACAATTTGGGTGTTCACAGAGCTTTTTGTTGCTGTCTTCATTACCTAAGTTAGCTACTTCATTTGCCTTCGGGCTTCTTTTATTTATCTTTCTAGACTTTTTCTCTAATTCTTTATTTGTCTAACTTTCTAGACTAAATGAGTGACGCCGACATAGATCATGATTATTACAAACAACTTCTTTGCAAAGTAATGCACTACACTTGTTAATGCCTTTGTTTTTACATTTTCTCGCGGTACATTCATAAACAACAAAATCAGGGTCTTCATCACTGTAATCTCCAAATAGTGAGTCCTCACTTTCACTATTGGATTGAGTATACTTTCGTTTTTTAGCTTCTCTTGTTATCGGCCATCTCAAAAGTGTGTTTGGTACATCAACTTTATTCTTGTTTTTTTTTTTTTAACAATGGGAGGAATATTATCATCAGAGCCACATTCGCTTAAAGGAGTTTTTGATAAACCAACTTCCTCCTGGCTATTATCGTCAGAGCTGTTGTACTGTGCGTCACTATCATCATCATTTTCTGTAGCAACTATTATTCCATAGTAGAATTTTCCACCACAGTCCATTTTTACTTTTTTACTTTTTTATTTTTTTCGAAACGGTTTGATCCATTAATAAGAGACAATTCATTAATTGCAACAACATTTTCTGTTCCATCTTCCCATTTAATTAAAACATCCATGATTATTAATTAGTTATCTGAAACAAATAATAATTACAGGTACCTACCTACATAATACAAAAATATTTTTTTCTCTTTGATGGGTGCTCCGCTAAATAGTATATTGTATTCCTAGGCAGTAAAGTGCTTTTTCAGGCCTCAAGAAGTGGCCAGGCTCGGCGCAGTGGTTTACACATAATTTTTTATCCTACACAATAATTATTTTCAAAAACTATAAAAGTCTAACGGATTATGGATAAAAAATGGCGTCGTAAAACAATTATCAAACATAACAGCTTATTATTTTAATGATTCGATATACGTCTAATCTCCTTGAAGCCAGTAAAATTCTATTTTTTCATAGTGAAGGATAAACATTAAATTGCATTCAGCCCTGTATAACTGGGCCAAAATGAACTTACAGTAGATTAGGTACTGTTGGGACAAATATGTCACGCATTGCAATTACGCTTATTTTTCGATGAAAATAACTGTTAATCTTAATCTAAATCTTAATATACATATGTAATTAGTAATACATACCTAGTTATTTCATAAAGAATTTTCAATAAAAATACAATATAACTAGCACTTAAATCGTCAAAGAGTTGCCGCACAATGTGCTCACTAGAGACAATAACACACAAACTGTGAGGTTGTTATTTTGTCGCGAAAACGAATCTCGTCTTTATGAATTTGAATGTGTGGTTCCCCTATTCGCTGTGTTCATTTGGCTTGGAGGGGATAGATTGAGCTATCGCAGCGCCTATGGTGGCAGGAGTCGGCGATTGTCCACATCATCGTAGTAGCGATTATTTTTATTATTGTCAATAATAAATGGATTTCAACACGATTTTTATCTTACATGCAATTCTACAAGATATTCTTTTTTCGTGACATACGTTTGTCTAATGACACCAGCTCGGATAAAAAGGCCAACACCTGACTCTCTGTGCTCTTCGACATTTATGACATGCCCAGCTTCTACCAAATCTTTACCTTTTCTTGGCGTTTCATGCTGAAAGTTTATGTCATGAGATATTTTCTCAAATCCAGTGTACAAGATGACACTCATGACAAAAATGTAGCATCTAAAAAAACCGACAAATTACATTGATTTATGACATTCAAAACGCAGATACTTCGTATGCATAACCTCACAATATTTTTGTCATTTACTTACTTTTTGTGCGACAGAAACAATTTTTGTTAGTCTATCAACTAACAGCGAACACAAAACTTGTTGCAACACTTAATGGGCCATGTTCACATGTGAGATATGCTGTTTTATAAATTATATTGTAATAGTTAGTCGCTATCCAAGTTATTCTAAATAGTCAGTTCGTTAAAAAAGCCAAAAGTTTTTAAATTAAGCCCAATTGAAATTTAAAATTTGAAATTATACGTCATCGGGAATAGACCAATCATCTTGTGTCGAAGTTTTTTTTGTTATACAAAACCAAGCCAACGAACAAACCGACACACAGAATGTCGAAGTGAACGCACATCTAAGTGACATTAACATTGACACCACCTAACACCTAACCTTAGTTTTGGATCAGCTGGATTTATAAAAGTTGAATCAAGTGTTTTACCCATTGTAAACGAAAATATAATTACCGAGATGATTACTGCATTTTTTAACAATACTCAGTTTACAAAAGTCAGAAAGGTAAGACTTTGTTTTAATAGTAGGTATTTACAGTTTATATGGAGCCAATACACCTTATAGTAAAACATATTTATCTCAGGTTTTATTTTTAGATCTGCCAAGCAAGAATATGGGGATAATTTCTTTTTCCATAAGAGAGAAGGAGACAAATTACACCTAAACATAAAGTACGGCAAAAACCTTCTGATGTGCTTGTTGTAATTAACAAAAATGAAATTTTTAGTGCAAAATGCTTACGATATGCTGCACATGGAGGAAAGATTATTAATGCTGCATGTCAAGGTTTGTAATATTTATTATGCTTTTTTGTTTTTATATCACATATAATAAACAGTGTATAAGGCCTTTTATTTCTATAAATATTTTTTTTCTAATTTTGACATATAGACATTTTTTGTAATCGCAGCAAGTGTTAAAATAATCTAGAAATAGATTTTGTTAGTGAACCTAGTAATAATTATGATACCAAAGAATGCTGCAGAGCACCTATGAAATTTTGAGTTAAAAAATATGCCATATTTTTAGGCTATTTTTATACCCTTTTCAAAAATTTTATGCTCCTCATTTTTTGCAAAACTTAAAATGCTCTGATAGCCTTCGAACGAAGTCAGCAAAGCACCTCTGTTTTATAAAGTTTTTTTCTGTAAAAACAGCAACACCATATATTTATGCGCTTGAAATATTATATTTTTAAAAAATACGTGGTGCTTCTTGCTAACCTTCGAAAGAAGCCAGCAGAGCAATTCGGTTTTTTAAAGCTTTTTTCTAAAAACCACACCCCATTTTTAGACTCTTGAAATATTGTAAAACTTTACTAAAAAAATTGCTATTTTTAAATAATACAGGGTGCTTTGTTGGAACAAAGTCCGCAGGACACTTCAGTTTTTTAATTTGTTTTTTTATATATAAAAACAACTACTTATGACACATGTTTAGGCTGTTTTAAAATCCTAAAAATGTGGTAAGTATATTTGTTTTCAGAAAAAAAACTTTGAAGTCAGCAAGGAATTGCGAATTTTTTTAAAAATGCAAAATTTCGAATATTTTATAATATTGTAGGAGCCAAAAAACGTGGTGTGGTTTAAAAAAAAAACTGGGGTGCTCTGCTGGATTCGTTTGAAGCTAACAAAGCAACCCGTAATTTTTTATTTTATAATACTCAATAGCCTAAAAAATTGAACTTTTAAAAATAGCAGTTTTTTTCGAAAAGCTCTATATTTCAAAAATGTGGTGAGATTGTTTTTTTTAACTTTTGAAAATCCGAGGTTCTTTACTAGATTAGTTCAGAGCTAGTTAAGCTCTGCTCGTCTTGTTACATAAAATAAGGCATTTTGTAGCTGGTTATATAGTTATTTTGTAACTGCATATCTCTTTTATTTTTTTCAGGTGGTTATAAACATGTGGCTTCATAGAAGAAGTGAGGAACCATCTGTAACATCTACTCAGTGTTATTGGAAAGGCTCTAATTTATCAAAATGCGCAAATATTGATGTACACTTGGCTAGATTGTTAAAGAAACCTCTTCATCCACTACAGGAAAATAAATCAGTACTTTTATATTCTTAGGATTCGTATATATATTTTTTATTTGTAAATAAATTGTTTTTTACTTCATTTTTCTCATTTTTTTATTAAAAGGTTGATAAATAAAATTTTCACAGATTTTTATATTTTTGTTTGTAAACAATAATTGAAAAGTTTTTATTAAAAATCGCCAATGTTAATAATAATAACTTAAGTCAATATTATTCTTTCTCCTTTTTTAAAGCTACTATCAATAAAGGTAATACTTTAGCTTGACCTATGATCAATTTTTAATTTTGTGATATATTTGGTTTGACAGAAAAAAAATTATAACCTTTTGACATTGGTTTTTACTTGAATTTTCATAAAAAATAAACGGAACTGCAAACATGTTTTACTATCGTAATAACGAATAGCAACATAAAATTTTTTTTTCACATTTATTACTGTTGTCATTTTCATAAAGGATTGATAAGAAGGCACACTTTCTGGTTTTTTGAAAAAGGTAGCAAGAATTGTGATATTTTTAAATTTATCACCAGTGATACCACATGTACGAGTAGTTACCCGATTTATTGGAATATATAGACTTTGCTACCACATTCAACTGAACTTGGTTGTTTTTAATATTTATCACCGTGACATAGGCGTTTTTGTTAAAATGTTTCATTTTAAACTGCTGTAAATAGGTGCCTTTGTTTTGGTAGTTTTAGTCCCAAAAAAATCTATGCATATACAGGTACTCATTCCTCTTCGATTTGCTCGAAAAGTTAAATTTTTATCAAAAATTACATTGGCTGTTTAAAAACTCATTATAATCCCTGAAATGTGATAATTAGGTAAATTAAATTAAAAAACAAACAAAAAAGTTTATTAAATTAATATTTATTCTTACAAAATAGGTTCTTGTAAGTTAACAAGCAATTATGCAGATATTACTAAGTAAATGTACTTGCTTAAAATTCACACACGAATGTGGTTTTAACATGTTAAATTAACTAACCCTTCTTATAACTCTTTCCACATGTATGTATTCTTAGAGATGCTATTCTTTTACTTAATTGTACATCTTCTGGAGAACTTTTTTCATTCTATGATACACTAGGTGTGGCTTTACTAAAGTGCATCCCATGTTTTCAAGTAGCTGAATATTCTGAAACCCCTATCTGCCATTATATGGGATCCAGGAACCAGTTTGTTTAAATACCCACATTTTTCTATTATTTCTTTATCACTAGTTCTTCCACAAAATGATGAATAAATTCGGTATCTTCAAAACTTTCAGGAGATTCTGCATTTTCTTCCAGAAGGGTTTTTAGGTTATACACCTAAGAATTTATAGTAGCCTCATTTTCAATTTCCTGAAGGGGACAATTCGCAGAAATTGCTACTACATCTTGATAATTCGGTGTATTTTTATTAAAAAGTTCACGAGAAACATCGCCAGTAGAAGGTTGATTTTCTTCTTTTCAAATTTCTAGGAACACTAATAAATATTTTTGAAGATGAATGTGAATCATTATCACATTCTGGAACAAAACACTTTTTCGTAGTCATAATATTTATAAAAAGTACAAAATTAAACACTCAAATTCCAAATAAATTCTTGATCGAGACACTATGACAGATACCATACACAGTGCTGCCATTTTGCCATTTTCTGAATTATTAAGTGACTTTTAAAACAATGAAACTTTAAATATGGTAAAAGTTTAAACATAAATAATACTTTCAAAAAACATTTGATATTATGTATTTAAAAGATATTTGTTTAACAATGTTTTAGAAGTCTAAAATTAAGAAGGAGTACACAAACGAACGTACATCACTTCTCGTAAACCTTCTAGCCGGCAACGTTGTGCGCTAGCTCCTATTGGTCTATTCCCGGTGACGTCATAAATTTAAAAAAAAATTCATAACTCCGGCAAATGAATAGATAAAAAAAAATAAAAAAAATGTAGTTTTATTTTCAACTCTATTATTCATAAAAAAAATTTGTTGAAAAAGAATTTTCAAGTTAAACTGTTGAGTGTGAGGTGTATAGCAAGTATGCGGGAATGAATGAGGAGAACTGTCGCTATCCCGTCACCAGAGAGCGCTACCAGTCTTGCACACAGCGAATACCTACCTACAGTATTTTTAAATTGTCCCTTGACAAATGAAATTATGCAATGTTTTCAAAACCAATATTTTGAAGAAAAAAGTCGTAGAGGAGTTAAAACTTTATTTAGTTTTTTTTTGTATTAAATTGAGATATGCCCTTATGTGACGCAGATATTAAATTTGGTTGATGTTTTTTCAAAAGGGACTATTTTGAGTTGAGCCCTTTTGTAAAAATAATAATTCGTCTCGACTGAGATATGTCGAAACACACTTTTCCCCATAACTTTGTTGCCTTTTATCGTAGAGATATGCCGTTTTGAGAGAAGAAAATATACGCCCCGGGGCACACCGTCTACTATATAACTCAAAATCGACAAAAAAATGAGTTATGTCCTTTTGTAAAAACAGTGACGATATAAGCTACTTTCTTAAGTACAAACGAGTGTGCAAATTATCATTTTCGTATTGTAGTCGTAGGAAAACCATTCTAACTAACAACATTGAACAATGCGACGTCAATATTTCAAGTTCAAGTTATTAATTTTGTTTTAGTATGTTTGAAAGTGAAAAATAAAGCGAAAATTAAATGTGGTATGGTAAGTATTTAATAATAAATAATACTTTCCAAACGGGGATTTTTGTACTTGTTTACAATTTTTTTAAAGCTTAACATAACTGTTTATACTAGTTAAATATGTACCCACATATCATGAGATGTTTTTTACTGAAAATAAATGATATAATCAGAAAAAAAAACTGTTTACAAAAGGATTTTTACCCGTTATTTAAATTAATAATCCTTTAAAATGCTTATCATTCCGTTGTTGGTAGTTTACAATCACTGATATACGATGATTTGGAAGAATTTGTTTATTTTTGCGATATATGTAAGTAGTTTTTTTAAAATATAAACTTTAAAATATAAACAGGGCATTATTTTTAGATATTTATTTATTTAAGGGTGTAAACTATTAACACTTCAAGGTCAGAAGGAAATATCTGAAAAATATTTTCATGATTTATACAAAACAATTTTTTAATTGAAATTATACATTTTTTTTTTAATTTTTAGAATTTTATGGCAATTATTGCTGTACTTCAAAATAGTTTTTTTTTAATATTATCTAGTACCTAAATTTTGACATTTTATTTAGAAAAAAACTGCAATTGGTTATAACCGAAGGTTCAAAGATTTTTAATTCATTTTATGGCCATTTAATGCCATTCTTTCTTTCTCGAACCCATACAAGATTTTTGACTATTATACATTCACTTTTAATTTAACACCTAGGACAAAGTATTTTTTTTCTAAAAGGTTTCTCGTCTAAAATACTGTGATTTATTTTAAAACAACAGTTTATTTATTAATAATTTATTTAAACACTTATTTATTTTATAACACTACTATTTCTAATTTTTATATTTATATTTATTTCGAATGTCTTTGAATCGTTCACTATTTATATTCACAGTCCAATACTTTATTGTCAGCTGTCTATATATCACTGATTACTATTTATCTTCACTGTCCATATAATAACTAACTCTGCTGAGTCCTCCACCAATATTTATATACAAATTTAAAAAATTGGCGAATGTTCTAGAAAGTTCACATATTCTCACCAATAGACTAGAATCATTATCCCGTCCTTTCTCGAATAGTCATCGAAAGCACCTCCGCCATAGTCGTCCCATAGGTTTGGTCTTGAGGGGTTTAATTATGTATAATAATCGGACAAGTTGAGCCTCAAAGGTCAAATAAGACAGAGAGGGACTTGGAGGGTTAGAGCATGACTGAATAATGAAATGGCTCACATAACAATACGAAACTAAAGTGTTTGTTTGCTGATATTTTACATTTCTTAATTGGACAATAAATTTCTATAACATGAGTTAAAACGTCCAATAACATTTGAAAACCAGCATCTACCAACAAATCTGTTTGTTATACTACACGGGCCACAATATTTTTGAGTGATAACTAGAATTGCCACCTTTTTGAAATGTAGATAAAGGACAATGGGTGACGAGGATCCATTTAAAATATTTTCTAAAAAAAAGGTCATCAAGTTATTTTAGTTAGCTTTGAAAAGGACAATTTGTTTCAAAAAAAAGTCAACCATTTAAATTCCTAATAATAGTGTTTGGGGCTGCACAAAAAAGCGCGCAAAAAAGCGCACAAAAAAGCTTGGAGGGCCGCATACGGCCCGCAGGTTGAGAATGACTGATCTACATCATTGACATTATTATACATCACTAAAACTAAAGACAAAGTGGATCGCAGTTGTTCCAAGTTTTGATCAGTAATGTCCCTGAATGTTCTGGATTTATCTCTATTGCAGTTATTGTAAGTATTTGGTAGGTTATATTCAAGCGTGAAAGCCCTATGGTCGCTAAAGTTGGCTTCAAAACCGTTACCAATACAACACTACACATCAACATTAGTTAAAATACATTAGTGTGAAAAAATGCAATATCTCCGCCATTATTAGAGATATAAAAAACATATTTTCACAGAACGGTAGACTACATATTTTAAAATTATTTTTGAATATACAGGGTATCTGTAACGTGTGGAGGGTGGGTTACCCCCACGGCACTTAGGCCTCATTAGGCCCATTGTGCATCCTCCTAAGATGATAGGCACCTCCTAGGATGATAGGCACCTCCTAGCTCGTCAGCCAGCCTACAGATTTAATGTAGTTGACAACGTCGTCAAGAGGTGCTTCTCTTATATCGGCCGGTGTTAGCCGATACTCGCCGAACACAAATCTTCTAATAAATGAGAGTGTCGGGCAATCGTAAAGGATATGCTCGATGGTCTCATCTTCTTGTTCGCACCCTCTGGAGAGTGCGGATTCTGACAGCCCCATGATATGGAGATGCTTCCGTACTTGGCAATGACCAGTCAGAATGCCTGTGACCAGACGCAGATTCTGTCTAGTCATAGTCAAGTATTTGTTTGCTGCAGTGTTGTCAGGATAACTTAAGAGGTCCCTGGCAACTCTGCAGTTTCTTGTTTCATCCCATCTTTCCTTGAATTTCACAAGGGAATATTCTTTAATTAGGTCTGTCACTACCGATTTTGTCAGGCCAATAGAAGGGCCAGGTCCAAAAAGTATTTAGTTGGCTGCTTTCTTCGCTAGTGAATCGGCAAGACGGTTACCTTTCGATGTGGCATGACCTTTGATCCATCTTAAGGTGACCACATTGTTGATGGATACTTCGGCCAAAGCTTCATGACATTCTAGTACTAACCCTGAATAAATTCGTGGTCTGTTCAGGGTGAGTAGTGCTTGTCTGCTATCTGTATAGATGAGCATGTTCCTTCCAGTCACCTCTAAGGCCCCAACACAAGTGTTTACAAATATGTTGGGGTGAAACATCATCCACCAAAGTTGACTATACAGGGTGATCTATTAGTGTGAAAAAGTCCAATATCTCCGCCATTATTAGAGATATAAAAAAATATTTTCACAAAACGGTAAACAGCGTTAAACTACATATTTTAAAATTATTTTTGAATATACATTCTGTTTGATAATTAGTAATTATTATAATTTAACCAGCTGTAATTTATTATCGATTTTTACATTAAGAAAGAAAAAAATATCAATAGCTAGCACAAATTCATACTGTATTATTTAAATGTAATTTTTGCAAATTATTTTTAATTAGAACAGCTGTTCAAAGTGGCCTCCCATAATATTTATGGAGGCCTGAAGACGGTTTTCAAAGTCCCGACTCACATTTCTAAGCATTTCCACAGTAACACTTTGAAATGCCTCTCTTACTCGTATTTTCATATCATCTACTGTAGTTGGAGGTATTTTATACACTAGAGCCTTAACGTAGCCCCAGAAAAAAAGTCCATTTTAGTTAAATCTGGTGACCGGGCTGGCCAACGGATTGACCCGCCTCTTCCTACCCATCTTCCTGGAAATTGATCTGCAAGTTCGCCATTTAAAAGAGCATTGTAAGCAGAAGCACCATCATGTAAATACCACATTTTTCGGTGTACTTCAAGAGGAAGATCTTCAAGCAATATTGGTAAAGAATTCACTAGACAGTCTAAGTACAATTCCCCATTTACAGGTTCGTTAAAAAAATGAGGACCTATCACGTACTCACCGATAATGCCACCCCAAACATTTAAAGAACACCTTTACTGACTGTGAGTAATTATATGGTATGGATTAGAAGTGGAATAATAATAAAAGTTGTGCCTATTGACACAGCCATTTCGATGAAAAGTTGCCTCATCTCCAAAAAGCACGTACTCCAAAAAATATCATCGTTTAGTAATTTTTTGTTGTGACCATTCACAAAAAGTTGCCCTGTGTTCAAAATCCATAATAGTGAGTTCTTAATGTAGTTGCATATGATACGGATGCATTTTATTTTTGGAAAGTATTCTTTGTACTGACGTATAACTTATTTCCTGTTCTCTTGAAATATTTCTTATACTTGTATGCGGATTTTCGGTAACTGCTAACAAAACATTTAGTTCATTTTCCTCTTTAGTAACAGTTTTTGTTCTATCAATTTTCTCATATGAAACTGACCCTGTTCGGTTAAATCGATCCATCAGTTTTTCGAACGATGTTTTATTTGGCGTTATACGCTCTGGAAATCGTTCTTTATAAACTCTAGTTGCTAACAAAGAGTTTTTATTGCATTCTCTCAAAATCCATACCATATCAACTAATTCTTCACGACTATAATTCATATTAAAAAACTGGCGAAACTTTGTAGAAAACAAATAATGCAACACTAATGACATTAATAATAACAAACTGTCAGTATTGGGGGTTTTCAAAGGCAACTTAAAAAAAATTAATAAATAAAAAATTTAGTAGGTGTCATTTGTAGTTTGTGGTTGCAATGTTTATTTCTTTTTCTAATAAATGTATAAGTGACATCACATATTGTCAGAAACTTACTTAGTCGATATTAAATAATTACTTCAGGTTAAATTCAATTAATTACTAATGATAAATAAAATGTATTTCCAATCAATTATTTCCTGAATTATCGTTTTTACCACTAAAATTTAAAAATCTCTAAAAACTTGGTATATTAACTTGATATATTAAAGTATAATTAGGATACTTTTGAACGATGATATAAAATACAGGGTGAACCATTTAAAAAAATTATGTATTTGTGTTTTGACTCACCCTGTACAGATTTGATGCGAATTAAAAAAAGTAGTGTCTCCGGATAAAATTTGACCATGATCGAAAAATTGTGGTAGAAAAAAAATTGGTTGTCAATAGTTTCTTTTGCATGATATAGGTCATTGAATTCAATACGATTTTCATACAAGACCGATTATATCCTGCAAAATACCCTGTATAAACCAATAATAATTTATATTTTTAGAATGGGAAAAGCGAGGGTAATTCAAATATAAAATAATATACAGGGTGATCCATTAAAAAGAACATAAGTTGGTTCCTGAGAGAAGTTATTAAACACCCTGTATATTCAAAAATAATTTTAAAATATGTAGTTTAACGATGTCTACCGTTTTGTGAAAATATTTTTTTATATCTCTACTAATGGTGGAGATATTGGACTTTTTCACACTAATGGATCACCCTGTATCAACTTTGGTGGATGATGTTTCACCCCAACATATTTGTAAACACTCGTGTTGGGGCCTTAGAGGTAACTTAGGTTGTAACTAATTAAAACTTCTTAAAACAGATCTTTGTGAGTGTTATCATTTAAATAGTCAATGTTTAAATCACCATATATAAAAACATCCTTCGTCTGTTTAGTGCAGAATTCAATAATTAGAGAAAGGCGATGTAGAAATTCATCACAGCACGTGGAATGATGTTTCCTTTTCTTCTTCACAGAACCTGCACAAAGTTGCTTCTTCTGCTGGATTGATGACACTCATGTGCCTTTTAAGGCGACAGTGTCCGGTAAGAAGACCTATTGTTATCCTAACGATTTGACGCTTTTGATCCAGAAGGTCTTTCGTGAACTTGGCCGATGGTTCCTTGATGAACTGTTTGGCCTGTCTCAGTCTTGGATAGTTGTTCCACCATTCCTGATACTCTTTTTGCATCCATTGTTTGTTGGGTGACTTGCACAATACCTTAGCAACTCCACAGAAGGGATTGGGGCCTGTCATGGCCTTATCTGAGCCTTCTTGGGCTAATTCGTCGGCCTTTTCGATGCCCTGATATCCCTCTTGGTCTGGCACCCAGGCTAGGGTCACCTTGTTTTGACTACTTAGCTCTGCCAGGTCTTCTAGACAGTTTTTTACCAGTCGTGATTTGATTTCTGGTGAGAAAATTGCCTTTAGAGCTGCTTGTTATCAGAGTATATGGCAATAGTTTTGCCTGATACTTGCTGATTTAGTATTTTTCTTGCACAGTGTTATATGGCTATTAGTTCAGCTTGGAACACTGTTGCAGTAGTCCCTCCATTTATGTGAATAGATCTACAGAAACTGGCAACAATTGAATACCATCCCGATTGCACCAGTGTTCAGCGATACTAAGAATATCAGGCCTTTCTTCTTCTAAGAGAACTTCAAGTCTATACCAATTTTAGTGATGTACAATTTTTCAATAAAATATTTAAGATAAATTTAAAAAAGGCAAATTAAAAAAAAAACTTTCAAAAATGGCTAGCTCGACCTTTTGACCTAGCAAAACCTAATTATTTTATTTGAGGTTATGTTAACGATTTGGTTCATCAACAAGGAACGATACTAGATATGAAGAAACTAATATTAGTTCAATATTTCTGTTCAGAACATTACCACAAAGTAATAAAAACAATATTTTATTTTTTTCAGATACTGATCTCAAACAACTTGTGCTTAGCTGCCATCCAATCAACTTCGGAAGACCGACAACCAAACGCCAACTTCTTGGAAGTTCTAATTAGAAAATGTTTTACGGTCCAAGACGAAAATGCAGATATTACTTACAATCCAAACAATATAGTAGAAGACCTAAATCAACAAGCAGGTGTTCCGCTATTCAATCCATCGAATAACGGCTTGAAAATCAACTCAAAAGTATTTTCAAATCTTCTAATCAACTGCCTGAAATCCAACGTAGACAAAGTAACGAGTAACAAGAACGTTCAAGAACATTTTTCGAAAATTATAACGAATAGAGAAGACGAACTCTCAACCGTTTTAAACGTGTTGTTATACGGTAGAGAAATTTCCCTACAAGATATAGAACATTTATTAAATGCAAGAAATAGAAATCGCTCTAAAAGAGACGCGCAAAATCCTTTAAACATAATCCAAGATCTGTTATTAAACCTGGTCATCGAACCCATAAAATCGAACTTAAATAGGGTCCTCGATAGCGTTAGAACCGCATTAGAATCGTTAATAGTACTACCAGAAAACATTCATAACCCTATACAGGGTATTATCGTCCAAAGCACTAATTCAGCTATAAACACTGCAATCAATCTGATTTCTAATATTCAAACCCAATTGAATGCACTTTTAGATAGCACTAAAAGTGCCTCGAATTCTGCAACGCAACCGAATGCCTTAGAGAGATCCAAAACCAGAGAGCTGGCATTTCCTTTCGATATGATATCGAACATGCTTGAAACGACGATAGTGGGACCAATACGGACTACCATAAACAAGATTTTGGTGACCTTAAATACTACTATTTACTCTTTTTATACCACCGCCAGTAACGATAACCCAGTACAGGGTGTTTTGAATAACGTCATCAATGAATCCGTCACGAGTATCGTCCAAGTTATAAATTCTATTTACGCACAAGTCAATACCATATTGAATGGTATCAGCGGAGCCAATTTTAGTACAACAACGTAATAATTATCGAATTTTATATTTATTGTAAATTATTTTGTTGAATAAAAATGTTAAATCAACTTATATCGTTTTTGTTCTGTCCACTGATTCTGTCTCGTCTAAGTCAGCACCTTTTAACGTAATGAAAAATAACATTTGTTTTAGCTCTGTAACCCTAACTACATATAAAAAAGACAAGTACATACTTTATGTAAAACACACATTTATATAACTTACATGCGACATAGCTTTGGTTTTAAACACCATTATTGTATCCATAAAGCTACAAAATGAAAATGTAACACTAAAGAAAGACGTTCAGAAATTCGAGGATAGAGTTGCACCACTAGAACAACAGATCAGATCGATCAATCTAGAAATTTTCGGTACTGACGAGAAACCTAACGAAAATATTCTAAAAGACGTCGAAAAAATTGAGTATCCAATCCTTCCAAGTGATATGTAAAAGGTCTTTACAAAAACATACCACATATTCCTTAGACCAAAATAAGTCGATTTAAGTAAAATTACCTTAGTACAAAGTTGCTTCGTTTGGGCTCCAGAGGGCCTTGAAGTTACAATTTTTAAATCGTTTTTCCCATGTAAATTTAAAACGGCATATGCGATTTTGCTGAAATTTGGTATATTGGTAGAGTTTTATGTGACAAAAAAATGGTATTAAAATTTTGTCCGATAATAATACATAGGCGTAGAACTTGATTTTTTAAATAATTGCACCTTTAAAAATTCTACGCCAATGGAAGAAAAGGAGTTTGAGTATGAAATTTAGATTGCGCAACTCATTTACTTTAAAAAAGGTACTCTTGATAAGACTCGATTACTCTCATGGTTTTGACGAAATTTGCATTTTAGTAATTTTAGAACATAAACAATAATTATTAAAATACAAACTTTGTCAAAACCATGAGAGTAAATCGAGTGTTATCAAGGGTACTTTTTTGTAGTAAATGAGTACCCAATCCAAATTTCATACTCAAACCCCTTTTTTGCCATTGACGTAGAATTTTTAAAGATGCAATTATTTAAAAAATCAAGTTCTACGCCTATGTATTATTATTGGACAAAATTTTATACGATGAAAAACATAAAAATGTACTTTTTTCATATCTTCTTCAACACCTCTAATCAAGACTTTTAACAAAAATACTCGACTCTTGCCATGTACACGATTTTTTAAGGAATATTATTTGCCTGCAATACGTATACAAAAACATTTATTGTTGGTTTCCATAGTTTCATCTAAATAAAAATATTGTCAAGTTTTAACACCTTATCTCTTGTTAACGATTGAAAGTGTTCTATCTGACTCAATAATTAAAAAAACAAATGCGTGGTTTATTAATATGGCTGTACAATATACCAATGCAGAATATACCGATATGTTACTGACATTAGGATTTTGTGAAGGAAATGCTCGAGAGAGTGTCAGGGTGTACTCTGAAAGGTTTCCAAATCGTCGTGTACCTAGCCACCCAACTTTTGTTGCTGTTGAGAGACGTCTTCGGAAGACCGGTTCCTTTGCTCCCAACACTGTTGATAATGGAAGAGAACGTTTTGTAACGATTCCTGAAGTTGAAGAAGACATTTTAGAACGTGTTGAAGAAGATCCAGAATTAAGCACCAGACGAATTGGAAGGGAACTAGGAGTAAGTAAAGATGTTCATAAAGTGCTTAGAGAACAATTGCTATATCCATACCATAAGAAGCCAGTACAAGAATTATTAGTCTATGATCCTCAAATTCGTTTGGGTTTTTGTCGATTTGTTAAGATGCAAAGAGAAAGAGATCCAAACTTTGTCAAGAAGGTTCTCTTTACCGATGAAGCGGGTTTTACAAGAAGAGGTATAACTAATACCCATAATGAACATGTTTATGCCGTTGAAAATCCGCATGCAATAAAGGTAAACCATTTTCAGCATGAATTCAAAATTAATGTGTGGGCTGGAATAATTGGTAATTTCATTGTTGGTCCTGTCATACTTCCACGAAGATTAACTGGAGAAAATTATTTGGATTTTCTACAAAATACGTTGCCAGAATTGTTAGAAGATTTACCTCTCCAACTTCGGAGAGATATGTGGTTTATGCAAGATGGAGCTCCACCACATTTTTCTTTAAACGTTAGAAACCACATGAATGAACAATATCGACACAAATGGATAGGCAGAGGTAATGACGCACCTGTAAACTGGCCACCACGTTCCCCAGACCTAACACCGATGGATTACTTTTTATGGGGACATCTGAAATCCACAGTTTACAGGGAACCTGTAGAAAATGAGGAACAACTCTGGCAACGTATTCAAGATGCAATAAACAATCTTAGAGGTGATGAAGAAGTTATGGAAAGGATACATTTTAATTTTCTTCGACGTATAAATCTTTGTATGCGTGAAAATGGTGAACATTTTGAACAATTTTTGTAAAATCTCTATTTTGATTATGTTGTAAATAAATATTTTTGTGAAACCTATACACTCTAAATTATTAAAACAGAAATTTAGCGAAAACCATGAGAGTAATCGAGTCTTATCAAGAGTACCTTTTTTAAAGTAAATGAGTTGCGCAATCTAAATTTCATACTCAAACTCCTTTTCTTCCATTGGCGTAGAATTTTTAAAGGTGTAATTATTTAAAAAATCAAGTTCTACGCCTATGTATTATTATCGGACAAAATTTTAATACCATTTTTTTTGCCACATAAAACTCTACCAATATACCAAATTTCAGCAAAATCGCATATGCCGTTTTAAATTTATATGGGAAAAAAATTTAAAAATTGTAACTTCAAGGCCTCCTGGAACTCTGTCTATTCAGCAGAGGATCCAAACACTGCAAAAAACAATTTTATTAGAAAATTGAAAAATATAATTGATGCCTGTACTGAAAAAAAAAACATGTAGGCGTAGAAATACAATTTTTGTACCATGGCTCACAGTTTATTAAAAATTATTAATAAGAAAAATGAAATCGTTTAAAAATTTTAATAAATACCCTAAAATGTTATATTAAAAAATCAATATAACGCTTATAAAAATATTCTTACAAATCAAATAAAAAAAAACTAAAAAAATACTATAAACAACAACTAGGCAAACAAAAATACAGTAAATATGTGTGAGACATGGTGAAAAAAGTTGGGCGGGGGAAAACCAACAAAATTTAAGATTAACCCTATTGCAAACGAGAACGGACACTTATTAACAGGTAACCAGGAAATAGCTAATGAATTTAATAATAAATTTACTAGTTTTGGAAAAAAGTTAACCGAACAAATTCAGATAACCCTAACTATCAAATTAAATCCGAAATTATACCAAATTCAATGTTATTAGTTCCTACTGACACCTGGACATGATGATATTAGAGCAGAATTTTTTAAAAAGTTGCAAATCATATATCGTCACCATTTACATGGATAATTAATAAATGTATTAATGAGGGATTGTGGCCTGATGCATTTAAAAACTCTATTGTCCACAAAAATGGTGACAAAGCATCTATAAATAATTACAGGCCCATATCACTGATTAGTTATCTACCAAAGGTATTTGAGATATTAATATAAAATAAAATAACGCCATTTATAAATAAATTTAAATTGTTGTCAGTAAGCCTTTAAAGAAAAAACCTCAACTGTAGATGCTGTTCTTGAACTCACTAAAAAAATCCATGGATCTATCGAAAATAGCAGACCATGCTTATGTCTACTTATTGACTTAAGCACAGCTTTCGACACTGTCAGTCACACATTATTACTCCAAACCTTAGAAGATACAGGAGTAAAAGTTACCTAAGTGAAAGAAAACAAGGGTAGAAGATAAATTAAGCCAAGAAACAGTTATTGAATATGGTGTGCCACAAGGTACTGTTTTAGGTCCGATAGCCCTCTGGAGCCCAAACGAAGCAACTTTGTACTAAGGTAGATAAATTAAGCCAAGAAACAGTTATTGAATATGGTGTGCCACAAGGTACTGTTTTAGGTCCGATAGCCCTCTGGAGCCCAAACGAAGCAACTTTGTACTAAGGTAATTTTACTTAAATCGACTTATTTTGGTATAAGGAATATGTGGTATGTTTTTGTAAAGACCTTTTACAGACACCCTGTAGATGTAATATTCCCAGCAAACACGTTTGTCCAACGTAAACCAAAACCTGTCATTGTTAAACTAACATCTAAAAACAAAAAAGATACCATTTTAGTTGCAGCCAAAACCAAACGACTCGCAAGAGGTACCCAAACTTCCGGACTATCTGTAGGACAAGTCTCAAATCATTCATTAATGAACACCTGACCCGTCATTCCAAAGCTATTTTGAAAAAAAACGAAGGATGCAGCAAAAATTGTAAAATATAAATACGTATTGGTACGAGATGGTACTATTTATACTAAGAAAGATGATAATAGTCGTGTTTTAACTATTTTCAATGAGAGTAGTATTAGCAAAATACAATAAAAATGTTCTTTGCACAAATTTATTACTTTTTTTAACTTTTAATGGCTATATCATTTCTATATCAAAATGTACGTGGACTGAAGTCCAAGCTCTCAACAATTTTTAAAAATTTTACTGCAACAATTTTACTGTTGAGAACTTATCTGTTACTGATAGTCCTCTAGTGCCGGAAGATATTAATCACACTGCACTGGAGTTTACTTTCAGTTATCCGAATATTCCTTTATCCAATAAATTTGTTAATGAAGTTTTAATTTTAGTAAAGGTAATTACGATGCTATAAAGACAGAATTACAGTCCTTTGATTGGACAAAGGAATTTTCAAATTTCAATACGAATGATAGTGTTCAGGAATTTTATAAAATTTTGTATAACCTTTTGGAGAAACATGTTCCTAAGTACCAAAAAATTAAGTCCTATATCCACATTGGTTTAGAATTGAAACAATAAGTTATCAAAGAAAAGAGAAAATTTCATATTAAATGGAAAAATTATCACAATAACTTAGACTACAACAACTATCTTAAGCAAATTGAAACTTCAATCACTTGTAACCCAAAAAACTTATGGCAGTTTATTAAATCTAAAAAAGGCAAATCCTA